TGACCCCGGAGAGGGGGCGGCGGGGGCCTCGGCCAGCTTTGTCCCCTGTGTGACCAGCATTCACTCCTTCACCTCTGCCTTCCTCTTCTCCATCGAGGTGCAGGTGACGATCGGCTTCGGGGGACGCATGGTGACGGAGGAGTGCCCAGCCGCCATCCTGGTGCTGATCGTGCAGAACATCGTGGGGCTGGTGATCAACGCCATCATGCTGGGCTGCATCTTCATGAAGACCTCGCAGGCCCACCGCCGGGCTGAGACCCTCATCTTCAGCAAGCACGCGGTCATCGCCCTGCGAGAGGGCAAGCTCTGCTTCATGCTGCGGGTGGGGGACCTCCGGAAGAGCATGATCATCAGCGCCACCATCCGCATGCAGGTGGTGAAGAAGACCTCCAGCCTGGAGGGGGAGGTGGTACCCCTCAACCAGATTGACATCCAGATGGAGAACCCCGTGGGGGGCAACAGCATCTTCCTCGTCTCTCCACTCATCATCTACCACGTGATAGACAAGAACAGCCCCCTGTATGACATCTCCCCCCTGAACCTTCACCACCATGAGGACCTGGAGATCATTGTCATCTTGGAAGGGGTGGTGGAGACCACCGGCATCACCACTCAAGCCAGAACCTCCTACTTGGCAGATGAAATCCTCTGGGGCCAAAGGTTTGTGCCCATCGTGGCAGAGGAAGACGGGCGATACTCCGTGGACTACTCCAAATTTGGCAACACAGTGAAAGTGCCCACCCCTTCGTGCACTGCTAGGCAGCTGGAGGAGGACAAGAGCATTATGGACACCATGCCATTTTCTCCTAAAGGCACAATAAGGAAGAGGTCTGTCAAGCTAAAGCCCAAGTTTACCATAAGCAATGAGCCTTCCTGATGCCTTTTGACTGGGAAACTCTGTTAGGACTTGGTGTCTGAAAGATCTCATAAACTCAAAACACTGAGGTGGCCTCTTTTTTTTAAATTCAGGATGGTAGCACAAGGTATGTTCTGGTGTTATTTATTGTGGGATAAATATAAAGCTAATTATATTTTTTAAAAAGTGTGAGAGATTTCAAGCAGCACTGGGTCTAGGAAAATCACAGTCTGCAGCTTTAAATTTCAGCACAGACTGTCCTGTTCAATTGCACGATCATTTTGCATTGATTAATCTGCAGGTAATGACATATTTTCTCAAAAAATAAATATGTATTTATCCTCAGAGATTGCAGTACTTAGCGTCTTGCAGTGTCCTAAAGTCAGTAGTTTTAAACTGGTTTTTTTTCTGACTTGAACAATCAATATAGCAAAATAAAACATTAATAATTATTTAAGTAGGCTGGATTTAAATTATAACAAAAAGGTCAGGCGATGTTATGTATGACACTAGACCAGATCTGGAGTGTCTATGTATTATACTCTATGTCTCAAAGAAATTAGCTGCCAGATTTGCTTCATCCATATTGTATTGCATGGAGCCACTCCTACCACATGCAATATGAAATGTATTTGAATATTTACTTTTCTTTATTTTAAAACCCTTTACACTTCCAAAATAAAACATTCAGGAATACCTTTTTGGACTGTACATTTCTGATAGTAAGCAATGCTTTGCCTTTACAAAAAATAGCAGATAGTGTACCACTGAAATTAATTATAAATAGGAAAAATTCTGTATTCTAACCATCTAAATGAAGAGAAGCAACATTTCTCCCCACACACAGAGCCAAATGGCAATAGGATACACAGTAAAAAATTAATCTCTCCCTTAGGTCAGAGTGAATTCTGTTAGATAATCAGGGAATATAAATAGAATTAGATATTTTAAATGGAAGGGTAATGCTGAATGCTGAAATTACATCTGCATGCAGTAGGCAAAACCTTTCACTCCTTTCCCTTTTGTAAGAGAAGCTGAGGTTTTTGTGCTTAGGGAAAGGAGGGATGCGTAAGACAGGGTGATCCCTTCTGGGATGCTGTGTTGCAAAACACGCTGCTGCTGAGGAAACGATTCCCTTCCCATTTACATCCTACCTCCCTACCCAGCCGGTGCCTGCCTTGGTTTTCAGCTGAATTCAAGATCTGGCATTTACTGGCAAACATGAAGGAGCCATGTTCACCCCCTCACAGTGACAACAGGAGCAATTCCCCTTGGCACACTCCGGCAAATCCTCTATCTGGGGGCATTAGTAGCAACAGCAGTTTTATTTCTATGCAAGGTTATGAGGAGATAGCAGCAGTATTAACTACAGTGTGCTATTAACAGGGCAAACTGCCACTCGAGTGCAAAAGAGAACGCCCAAAGAAAACCTAACTAAGCGTTACAGAACTGATCCAACAGCTGGTTCCAGCACAGAGGCACCAAGTCACTTTCAAACTCATTGTTCAAGGAACTATCAAGTTCTCGTGTGTTACGCAGTTCAGGACAGACACCTGAACTGGTTTGTGTTGGCAATAATATAGCAAACTTCTGATGCCTTGGCGGTGCAACAATACGACAAACTCATTCGAAAGTGTGACTAAACTTCTATGTTGACTATGGAATATTGTCAGGCATCTATAATAAAATGTAATAATGTTTGGGTAAAATCAAAGGTTGTTTTAAAATGATAAAATAGTAGTTATATTTTCAATATTTATGTATTTCAGTTTTAAAAACTATACCAGCATTATCAGGCTGCCCATTAAGAGAATAAAGGGCAGTTCATTTTCCAAATTCCCAATGCACCAATACGACTCTGAACAGCTCTAAAAATGTGGTATGTGTTTCACAATGAAAAGACAGTTGAACTAGCATTAACAAGTAGTCAGCAAAGAAAATTTGGACAGGCATATTTTACATTTGTAATCAAGAAATCCTATTTTTTTAAATAGGAAATGATTAAATGCCTTTGATTAAATTTCTTCTGTAAGACTGAGTCTAATTGTCACATTATTTTCCAGCTTTCCCTTTTACTGCCTCTGTTCCATTGCCCCTGGGAGGGGCACTTACAGCAGAGCGATTTGCACCTCCTAGACACCTTTGTTCCTTTGAAAGTTCATCGTTCTTTATCACTTGTTACAATACCACTACTCTATTCTTACAAGAGTCACAGATAAAATATTGGAGTTAGCTTTCCAGTGGCTTGAAATTATTGGCTTTTCAGTAGTCTCCTTAGTGCCTTATGTCATTATGCAAGACACATCTTCAGGTTCTCACATAAAACCTCTTCAGCTCTGGGAGCGTTTTAAAGCTCTTGTCAAGATTTGACCTAAATGCGAAGCAATTTCAGTAGCACTACTATGCCGCTATTTTCAGGAACTGATGCAAGGCTCTTTTTCCCTCAGGGAAATCGGTGCTACAGAGGGGTAGAAAATTCTCTTTGTTCGCTGTGAGATGGGAGGGGAAAGATGGGAGGAAACAGCTTGCATTTGCTGGGCTTTCAGGACCACCTTTTATGTCACTTCCTATACAAGAATCTGCCTGATTTTTTGAAGTCTTGTGATAAATAGGTAACATAGTATTATGAGGAAGGCAGGATTTGTACTAGTAAAATCACCATAGTGAATTATTTCAATCAAAGTGTTGGTGATTTTTGAATCTCAGGATTCTTGTAATTTTAAATTCTTCAGTTGTTTCACCATTTAAAATATTCAGAAGCATTTCAGGGGCAGAGCAAGGAAGAATAAGTATGTGTGGTACTAGGGATATTACTTCTTTGTGAGGATCCTTTCGTTTTGTCATTTACAAAGTATTCGAGAACACAAATATCTGAAATTGTTCTTGAAGTTGTACTTATGCTGACCGCCCCCATTCTCTGTAGGAAGGTTCTGAAGAAGGCGTCAGTGCTACCATTTGACGTAGAAAAGTCCTCATTCTTAGCAATGAGCAAACGTTGCGTTTTCTGTAGTTGAAGTCCAAAGTGAGTGGGCTTTTGAACTTTATCTCTCAGCCTACGTCTGCTTTTTGCTAGGTAGTATCGCAGTGGAGGTCCTGCCAAGCAGCGGAGGGGAGTGTGCTGTGATTCCCACCACTGCTACCACTCCACATTTCCTCTGCACAGAAGCCAGCATGAGGGAAGCTGGGGGCTACATGCTCGGGGCTTGCCTTGACTGAGGGGAGGACACGGACACAAGAAGTGGGAAGCTGTAGGTTTTGTAGAGACCTATTGCTGAATTTAGGGTGGAACCTACTGTGTCTGTGGGAATTGCCTTTCAGTTCTTTGGAGTCCAGAGACCGTTATCAGATTATACGCATAGTTCACACTCTTCGGTGCATTTGAATTGGTGTTCGTTAAGATGTTTGGATGGACAGAAGGATCACAGGGCTTATTAATCAGATACAGAGACTGGAGAACACTTATGTTGTATGCCATAATTTTAAAATGCTTGTAGTGACTGCTGGTGAGAACATAGCCACGGGGCTTATCAGTTTCTAGTTGCATTTCCTAATGAAGTCAAGGGACATACGTATAGAAAATGAGAGTATAACAAGGGCTGACTTTGCCTCTTTATCCCCTAAGGCACATGATAAACACAGTATTATAGCAGTGTACTTCAGTAGGAAGATCTCCTTGTAAAACAGACAAACCAGAAGTGAATGCAAGAGGTTGCATATTAAGGCAAAAGAGGGTCAGGGACACAAAATAAATACATTTAAAATCCACAAGTGACATAGTGGGATGACAATGCCAAGAAGTAATAAACTATTTTCTTTTGAAGCCCTTCACACCAGCAAAGGTGTGACGATGCTGAGATGAAAGACTAGAGACCTCAAAAGCAGATATGAGAGGCTGGTATAAAAATCTTTAACAAGGCCAAGGTTTACAAGCTAGCATAGATGAGCAACGAGGTCAGTGTCAAAATCCATCCTGCCCTGTAAGGCGAGACTGCAGGCTGGCCACGATCAGCATTGCTCAATCCAGCGGGTAAATATTGCGGCGTGTTGAGCAAGGTACAAGTCACAACAGAGCCCTTTTGGAAGCAGTGTTAGGAGGGCTTTGTGGTGACTGATTCTTGCAATTAGTTATTTATTAATACTTAATAATGTCAATCTAATGAATAATTAATAGTTCTTTGAAAACTGAATTTGTTTCTTCATGTTTTCTTTCCTCTTCCACTCTTGGTACATTGGTCACTCCTAGAGCTATTGTAGGTTTGCTAGCACAGATTGGTTTGGTTTGGGATAAAGCGCAAGAATGCTCTGGGAGATAAAATGCAAAAATAAAATAGATATTAGAAACCTAAAACCTCTGTGAAATTGCCAAGCTTGCAACTTTCACAGTGATTCCTTGTACAAAGCATGGAAATATCTATTCCTAGGAACTGGATATTAATAAACTACCACAGATTATTCCCTGTTGTTCATTTTGCAGATCCCTGTGGAAGGGACAGTGGTTTAGCTCTTCAGGTTAGGGTTGAGGGAGAAGAGAAGAAGGTTCAAAATCACTGCATTTTAGGCTCCCTGGTTACGCCTTTCTCTCTGCTGGTGCTCAAAGTCACGCTGGTGTTGCCACTGAAATGGGCAGGGTCAATGCTGGTTGCAGTACGTGTTCCCGTGTAGCCCTGCATTCATCCACGGCCAGCTGCCCTGTTCCAAGGTGGACATCTCAAACCCAACAGCCCTGACACAAGGTTTCTGGAAGACAGTAGAAAAATTCCCACCCGTTTCTGCGGAGTTTTGGATCAAAGGACGTGATCTCCTAACCAGCTGAAAGCATATGCTGCAGCAGAAAGAGGAATTTAATCAGCTGCAGGCCTTACTCAAGCAAAGCTGCTGTTTGAGGTGAGAAGGCCCTTTTGTGAAGGAGATCTTGGGTAAGCTGGACCAGAACAGACGGTGGGACGCCTGCTCAACTTGGCTGGTGACTGTCTAACTGCCTGTAACAAATGACTCAGTGTACTATTTTTGATTCAGCAACA